TTTTTGAATTTGGGAATTTTTAATTATTTTTAAGTTTTGGCATTTGAAAATTATGCGATTTGGGCACCTAGGGATTTCGGAACCTGGGGATTTACAAATCTAGGGACTTTGGAATCTAAGAATTTTTGATCCAGAGATTTGGAGATTTGCAAATCTTGAGTCTAGGGATTTTTTAAATTTAGGGGTTTTGAGATCTGGGGAATTTTTTATCTAGGTATTTTTGAATTTGGTATCTATGGATTTAAGGTTCTAGGGATTTGCGAATCTGGATATCTAGGGACTTTTAGGATCTAGGGCATTTTGGTGTCTAGAGAATTTGAGACTTAGGAATGTAGGAATCCTAGGATTGTAGAAATTTTAGTGATATAAAGATCCTAGAAATATAGTCATAAAGATAAAAATCTAGAGTTCTAGTAATATACTGATCTAGTAATATACAACGATCATTTTCAATTTATCTAATCTTCGACGTAAATTTAATTTCAACTCAAGTTTTTCAAAATACGTAATGCATTAATTATTTAACCTGTATAAATCAATAAAAAGAAGTTTCTAGTTAGTAAATTTGTTATATTGCCCATTGCATGGAATTATCCACGTAAGTACCACAGATCTACAGTAGCGTGCAGTTCGTACGGTTTCGAAACAAAGTCCGTGAGAAGTCATAAATTTAATCATAAATCTAATAACATTTAGACAGTATTTATATTCTACATTATAAATTCTAATAACATAAGTTCTATATCATAAATTCTATTAAATAGTAGAACGTATATTTAAAACTGTTCGAATAACCTCAACCTCTAATTCGAAAAGAAAGGAAATGGTTCTCAGCTGACAAAATCAACGTTTCGAACAATAAGCAGAAATATGACTCAAGATTAACTGGAATGGTACAGCAAAAACTGTGTCAACGTTACGGAATTATGTAGTCTTCGGTAGATAGTGATCGTAACGAGTCCTTGTAAAAGTATAATAATTCCTATGATCGAACACTGTCGAACGAAGAATGTCGACGACCTTAGTGCACTAGTTACACTGAAGTAATTACCGAGACGATGATCTACTGTCGGTAACAAAAAGATTCGAACAATGATACTATTTTAATTCCTTTGTTTTTTTTCTATTGCTAATTATACACTATAATGTGACGAACACTAATTTTGTTATTTCTTGTACATTCAGTATATTTCCAATATAACAACTTTTCAAATTACTAAATTACAAAATTACTAAATTTCTAAATTACAAAATTACTAAATTACCAAATTACCAAATTACTAAATTACTAATTTACAAAACTACCAAATTATCAAATTTATAATTATTCAATTTTGAAAATCTAGCAATTAAAAATATCTACCTTTACAAATTTGGTAATTTAAACATATGGACATTTAGAAGTTTAAATATTTAAATTTTCATATTTTTAAATTTATAAATTCATATGTAAGCAATCTGAATTTTTAAATTTCCACATTTATAAATTTCCAAATTTTCTAATTTATAAATTTTCAAACTACCAATGTCCTAAATTAAACAATTTTCATATTACATTTTTATTTTAAATTTGTAACACAATATCTATCTCCTACTTAAAAGACACAATTATAATTTAAATTTCGCGCTTTACTTTTTGCCCAAAACTGTCATTGTTGACATAACCTTCTTGACTTTTTCTACACTCATTGTCAGTAAGGACTTTGACAATGGAACTACTAACCAATAAAACCGACTATTTTCAGGTGACACATTTTATATCCTAAGACTTTACAGTCGTATTTTGTTGAAATACCATATTTTGTTGAGACGAAGAATGATTGTGTACATCAGCTGAGCTTCAATATTTACTTACTCATTGTTCTATTTTATTTTCAACCTAAAAGTGCAGTGAAGAGTAAGTGCGCCGGAAGTTCATGTATTAATAGAATCGAATTTATAGTGGCATTTAGACATATTTTTGAAGTATGTACGTTTCGTTCTGTTTGTCCAGCGAATATGCGATTAACTATGGACACTTCACGTCCAAGGAGATCCTGTCTCCGCGTGTAACATGGGAACGACAGTGCAATTTAGCCTTGGTTCTTGGCTACCAGCTAACTATTGCGGCACACCACACCACATAGATTATGTCCACATCTGCATTTAAATATTGCACATTGTCTACCACGACTCGTTAATTTGAATCCAATCAAAATATGATAGGAAACAGGCATTAGGTTATGTTCTCATCTAAGCTGTTGTCAAAGACCTCAATTATCTGTCACTTTAAAATTTTCTCAAAGCTGTTTTGTAACTTTCAAGTTTTTGATATTTTTCATCTTTTAATTCTTATAATTCTGAACTGTCAAATATTTTTAATTCTTATATTTCTAAATTGTTAAATTTTTAATTCCTTTATAGGAATTAAAATTTATATTTTAAATTGTAAAATTTTTAAGTTACTAAAATTTTTCATTTCTCAGATTTTCAAATTCCCAAATTACTATATTTTTCAAGTTTTAAATTTTAAAAACTCCTAAAGTCATGAAGTTTTTAAATATTTAAATTTTACAAATCTGCAAATTCTCAAATCTTTCTTTTTAATTTAAATAACACAGCAAAAAAATTTTGAATGAAATATTAATTATAATTCCCAATTAATATTACATAATTTAAAATAATTTGCAAGAAGAAGTTTAACATAGATCTGACCCATAATTCCAATATAATGTAAATATTAAAAATAACGTTTACCAATAATTGCTTATTTCCTCCCTTTAAAAAAGGAAATCAAAACACTTGTTTTTGTTTAATCTTAATTTATACTTGCAAAGTATATTATTACAATTCAAATTGAAAATTCTAAATATAAATATTGAACATTAAATTTCTGAATATAAACATTGTACTCACAGTTTAAAAACAAATTTGACAAATTTAAAAATGAAAACGTAAATTAATAAATTTCACATTTATTAATATTATGTTATTATTTTTAACAATTTTTAATAGCACTTAATTTTAATTTATATTTCACAGTAATAATATACCATTAAACTGAATATTAAATAATTTTTAAATATATTCACATTACTTTTCTAATAATAATATATAAAAATTAAATTATTATTTTTTTGTTCCATTTAATAAGATAGTGAATATTACATGAATGATACAAAAATAACTAATGTAACATTTAGAGGGTGATTTTCAAAATTTAATAAAAATAACTTTTCACTTAAAAATGCAGAAAAATATTGAATTAATAATATTTGAAATATATTGTACTAATATAATTAAATGACAATTGTAGAATATATTCACCACAGTAAATATATTATTCTAAAAATGAGTTTGTGCGAACAATTATTATAAGTATAATTACACATCTATAGTCACACATGGTACTATAAGATTTTACTATGTTTACATGTAATAAATATATTATTGTAAATTTTGTGTAATGATATTGTTATGTATTATGTTTTGTATTATGACGATACTATTTATGAGCCAAAGTGACACCGCGTTCCATTATTGCGTCAGTCACACAGCATCCATTTTCCAAAGGTTAGGTTATGTTAAGATTAGGTTAAATCGTTGCAGTGGAAATGGACATATGTGTCAAGACATCGGCCTACTAAAAATACAACAGCCATTTGGATTTCCAATATTTGATGAACATTTTTTATTTTATTAGGTGTTATAGTTATATTTTCTTCTAGATTTTGAATTTTTCAATAAATTTTAAAGTATTTACAAAATTTAATATCTGTTGCACTAATTATAGTTGAGCTCCTTTTGAGGCTTTATAATTTTAGGATATATTTTTAAATGTTTATAGTAGATGAATTGTTTACACAATTTTATTTAAAAAAATTTATAAATAATGGTTAAAATGTTTTATTAAAGACACAAAACTGAATTATACTAATTTAATGGTAAAATATGTTGTTTAAATATTAGAAAATATTGAAGTTTATGGAGATAAATATTTTATACAATATTAACATGTTACAATAATTTGAATAATTTGTTTAATTCTACTGAGATTACATGACTTTTTACAAAATTTTAAGTTCAACAATTATTATAAAAATGTAATTTTGTTAAATTTGTATTAAACTGTTAAAATGTTCATTTTTAAAAATGGTAAAAGTACAATTACAAATTATTAAAATTAGTAAAATATTATTTACTAAATATGGAATGCGTTATTAATGAATGCATTATTAATGGATAATTATTATATTATAAATATGTAATTATTGCATTATAAAAATATAATGATTGCATCCTAAACATGTGATTATTATATTGTAAATATATAATTATTGTATTATAAAAATATTATTATTGTAAATATGTAATTATTACATTATAAAAATGTAATTATTATATAAAAGTAACTATGTATTATTATATAAAAGTGTAATTATTAAGTCATAACGTATTTATTACTGCATAATTAATTATAACAAAAATATTTAATGTTTTAACAGATCCATAAAAATACATCTACTAAAATAAATATAAAAATACCTCATTCTATTCATAAATACTTAAACAATTCATTATTAACAATCAGATCTTTCCAGATTCATCTAAAATCCATAACTCCCCTCTCCATAAATCAAAACAAATCACAAATCCTAAAATTCCAAATTTGCAGCAAAATTCCATCACCACACAAATCTCCAGCTAAAATAAACAAACCCAAAAAATAATCAGAAATAAAACAGCAATAGTTGAACACAAAATATATCAGTATACTCCGCATCTCCAGATACAAAAAAATATAAAAAATTTTGAACAAATCAGATGAAAATGGTACAAAAACGAGAATCAGTCTCCGAAGAGTACATGACGGTGCAAACGAGATTGTCGACCCGCAAAGCTGCTGAACCTCTCGCAGCGATCGACCATCGCACAAAATTAAAAACTAAATCGGATAATATAAAAAAATATGAAAATTAGGAATCGATGAGTAGAGGGAAAAAAGAGGGGGTTGGACTTACGCGGCAATGCTCTTCGACAGGGGCCATCGTTCCATACTGGCCTGGTACTTCATGTTCTCGATCTGCTTCTTCAGTGCGTCCTTATCCATGTTGGCGAGTACACTGGGATCCATGGTTATAGCCGCGCCTCCCTTTTGCCAGATAACACCGAATAGCGCTTGCGCCTCTACGAAAAATCAATAGAAGTGTGTATGGGGACTCCTGTTATAGGAACGCCGGAGCTACGTCATCGACTCGCAACAGGAAATTCGATTCTATGAGAAAAATTCGACGATTTTTTAGCACAATCGCTTGTACTTTCATTTTTATTGCTTCTGGCTCTTGTGGATTTTATTGGATCGTTAACCCGTTGCGCTGTTTAATTTCTATTATCTAAGAACTTCTTAATTTCTGTTATTTACTAACTCCTTCATTTTTAAGAGAGGGGTTGTATGCTAAATGCAACAGAGTGGAGTATGTGACATTTTTCCTCTATTATAAATAGTGAAATATATTCAATAGATAATCTATGTATTTGAATTACTTATGAAGTCCAAGTGATATTATGAATGATCACAAATGTCGAGCCACACTTGACGTGGAAGGACAAAGAGTTAACTTATGACTAGATTGAACATTCATAGTGTTAAGAGGTTAACTAATGACTAGTTTGAACAATCATTCTTTACGGGGTTAACTTATGACTAGGCCGAAAATTCATACTGTTCAGAAGTTAATTTATGACAAGGCAGAACGTTCATACTGTTCAAGAGTTAATTTATGACTAGTTTGAATGTTCATACTGTTCAAGGGTTAACTTATGACTAGTTTGAACGTTCATACTATTCAGGGATTAAGCTATGACTAGTCTGAACATCCATACTGTTCAAGGGTTAACTTATGACTAGTTAGAACCTTCATACTGTTCAGGGGTTAATTTATGACTAGTCTGAACGTTCATACTGTTTAGGGGTTAATTTATGACTAGTCTAAACGTTCATACTGCTCAAGGGTTAACTTGTGACTAGTTTGAACGTTCACACTGTTCAGGCGTTAACTTATGACTAGTCTGAACGTTCAGATGTTAACTTATGACTAGTTTAAACATTCATACTGTTCAAGTGTTAACTTACGACTAGCTTGAACGTTCACACTGTTCAGGGGTTAACTTATGACTAGTTTAAACATTCATACTGTTCAAGTGTTAACTTATGACTAGTTAGAACCTTCATACTGTTCAAGGATTAACTTGTGACTAGTTTGAACGTTCATACTGTTCAGGGGTTAACTTATGACTAATCTAAACGTTCATACTGCTCAAGGGTTAACTTGCGACTAGTTTGAACGTTCACACTGTTCAGGGGTTAACTTATGACTAGTTTAAACATTCATACTGTTGAAGTGTTAACTTATGATTAGTTAGAACCTTCATACTGTTGAGGGGTTAAATGATTATGAACTTCTATGTCTCCAAATCCCTGAATCCCCAATTTCCTATGTCCCTAAATCCCTAGATCCCCAACTTCCTATGTCTCCAAATCCCTGAATCCCCAATTTTCTACGTCCCTAAATCCCTAAATCCCCAATTTCCTATGTCCCCAAATCCCTAGATCCCCAACTTCCTACGTCCCCAAGTCCCTAGATCCTCTATTTCCTATGTCCCCAAATCCCTAAATCCCCAACTTCCTATGTCCCTAGATCCCCAACTTCCTACGTCCTCAAATCCCTAGATTCCCAATTTCCACGTCCCTGAATCCCCAGATTTTCAATTTCCCACGTCCTCAAATCGCTAGATTCCTAATTTCTCACGTCCCTAAATCCCTAGATTCCTAATTTCTCCCTAAATTCCTAGATCCCCAATTGCCTACGTCCCCAAATCCCTAAATTCCCCTAAATCCCTAGATACCCAATATCCTATGCCTCCAAATTGCTAAATCCCCAATTTCCTAAATCCCCAAATACCTAAACCCCCAATTTCCTACGCCCCCAAATGTCTAAATCCCTAATCTTCCACATCTCCAAATTTCTACATAAATTTCAAAACTACTGAACTTACAGAGTGAACGCAACTGAGAATTACTTATCAATTGCTAAATTCCAAAATTTCTAATCTGAGAAGTTCATACCGAACGAGCATAAGCCACATTCCACTGATTACAAGCATCAAAACGTAAAGAACAAATTTCTTTCCCGTTCGTTTAAATTTCTCCGAAAGCGAAGGGACACGAATTACACGTTTGGTATTCTCCTCACGGGGCTCTGTAATAAGCATCCGGCACCAGTTACAAAACAATATACGTGTTGGACTAACAGCAACGAGCATAATCATCGGCCTAGATTCGTCGGGTACGTGGCACACTCGCGAAATCGGGTTCGTATTTTTCGTCGCTCCGGGGTGGAAATTTACGACGAGAATGTGGGCACTTACCGAGCAGGCGAACAGGAAACCACGGGACACGTGTCACAGAAAGTCCGTTTCGGGAACTCGTCCGTCGAATATTACGGTAGCACTCACCTTGTCGGAGGTCGGCGAAGTTCTGAGAAGCTCTGACTCTTGGCAGGTTTCTCGATTCGCTTACGGAAGCCTCAACAAAACTCGGCAATCTAATTTGCTGGTAATTTACCTGCCGATATCTTCAATCATTGTTGTCATTGGAATATTTCCACGGAGAATTAACGAGGAATATTGTTCGAGAACGTTAGGGACTCCATCTTGGGCCGAAGTTTGACCGCCATTTTGTTTTGGATTTGAGAGATGCTTCGCTTGGAGTCAGATAGGGTGCCAAGGACGTAGCTGCGAAAAGAGATTCTAGTTTACCTGTTAATTTAGTATTTAGGTATTTAGGTTATTTTTGGAAATTTTGTTTTATGGTATATGTAGAAAAATAAGATTTTTGCTTAGTTGATGAGATGAGGAAAATTAGATTGATTGTAAAGACTGTGAATGGGTGTAGTAACGTCTTTAGTCATTTTTTTAATAGTTTGTTGTGTTGTGATTTGTATTTGTGGACAGGGTTTTTGTAAATGTCATTTTATGTAATATTTTATGGGCTTTGTATAAATGCCATTGTATATAGTATTTTATAGTTTTTATTCAAGTATCATTTTATATACTATTTTGTGGTTTTTATATAAATATCATGATTTATATCATTTTGTGGTTTTTATATAAATATCATGATGTATATCATTTTATGGTTTTTATATAAATACTATTTTATATACTATTTTGTTATTTTTTTATAATGTTATGTAATTTTATATAATTTTATATAATTTTATGTAATTTTATGTATTGTTCTATGATGTTTATATAAATACCATTTTATGTACTATTTTGTGATTTTTATATAAGTATCATATTACATATCATTTTTTATTTTTTTATAAATATTATAATTACATAATATCATTTTTGTAGAAACTGGCAAAATTAACATTTATTACTGTACATTTATTTACTCCTTAATTTTGAATTTATGTGTTTATTGTTTTTATTTTGGGAATAATAAAAAAAAAGTATTTTTGACAGCTGTGTTTGACTGTAGTGAGTTAACCTGTTACCTTATTTGAACAAATTTATTCCTATTTAATTGTTAAAAGTTATTAATAATTATTTGAGGTTAATAGAAATGATTAGAAATTGTTAGATGTTATTAAAGATTATTAGATATTATTAACAATTATTACAATTTATTGCAAATTATTAGAAGTTGTTAGAAATGTTAAAAAATAATTTAAAGTTATTGTTAGAAGTTATTAGAAATTGTTAGGAATTCTTAGAAGTTATTAGAAGTTGTTAGAAATTATTAAAACTTGTTAAAAATTGTTAAAAGTTACTCTAGAAGTTGTTAGAAGTTACTAGAAATCATCAGAAGTTACTAGAAATGGTTAGAAATTATCTAACAATTATATATTGTTATTGTAACATATAATTATATGAATATTGTGAGTAAATTTTTTTTTAACACCCTGTATATTATTATTTAGCCCCAGTTTATTACATTGTTATTGTAATACATAATTATATATTGTGTGTAAATTTTTTGGAACACCCTGTATATAGCCCCAGTTTATTACAATGTTATAATTATACATAATTATATACTGTAAGTACATTTTTTTGGGACACCCTGTATAATATTATGTAGCCCCGCTTTATTATATTTGATCCTCCTCATCTCCACATCTCATAATTTCATGTACTTCAAAGTTTGTATGAGTTCAAGGACTCTCAAAGGCCACCGCCTTTGTGTCTAAAAACACAGCTGTTATTAAAGATATAACAGTGTAAATTTTGTTCAATTTCTTCATATGACTCTTGACAGCAGAGAAATCAAGCTGTGATTTTTAACGATTTCCTATAGTATACAATTTAAAAAATTATTTAATTATTTTTGCACTGCAATTGTGCATCAATAATAAAAAATTAAAGTTGTCAATTATTTAGAAATATTGCTTTATACAATTGCCAAAATAACCTAAAATACAGTTATTTAGATTAAATATCTGTATGTTTAAATTAATTTGTATACCTGTTTATTCTGAAACAGGTTACATATACTTTACTTTATATAAATATTCAAAAGTACTGTGAAACTTTTTTTAAAGATACATATATTCAGATATAAAATTGTTTGTTTTTCGTCCACGAAATTATATTTATACTGAAGGTAATTGTGACATCTGAGAAATTCTGAAGTTTCAGGAAATATTTATTTTTAACCTGTTGTCAAGGATTGAATTAATTTGTGCATGGAATTAACATAAATTACCGCTCCTTCGAATATGACTTTCTTTCAATGTTTACATAGATAACGAAAAGGTTATAATTACTGATTCACGTGATAATATGTGAAGATATCATAATATAATATTACAATTAATTTAAAAAATTAACAGCACTTAAAACTTGTTTAGATCACTTTAGAATTAAAACACATATATTTTTATATATACACATGCACACATATATATTTGCATTCATTATTTGACATAAAAAATTGCATATTTATTTTGCTAATTTATTTCTGTGACATTTCAAATACTATACTGTATGGGAACTTAAATTTAAATTTTTAATTTATGAAAAACAAGCAAAAGAATAATGGATTATCATAAACTAATTAATTTAACAAGTTAAAACTATTTCGAAAGCCACGTTCTTTTTTATTTTTTAAATTTATATTTACACACGCATTTATTAAAGAAAAAACGGTACTTCTATCGCCATCTTGCTGTGAAGTGCGAAACTATCGAAATAAAAAATTACGTTTTATTGTGAAATAAAGTATTTTTTCGTTTTTTGATTTTTGCAAATTATTCTACGGACTTGATAAAGTTAGAAAAATGGCTTTATAGTGACTTTGGAGCTTTGTATTTGAAAATTTTTTAAAATGCATTTGGTGGACGCTAAAATGCTCAGCCATCTAGCGGCAAGCGGCGGAACTACGAAAAACTAAAATTTCGATTTTCTCCAAAATTAGGCAATTTTACGTATTTCTGAGGGTCAGAAACTGTTCCGTGACCTCTCTAGAACCTATATAATGCCACAAGAACCTCCTCAGAGCGCTAGAAAAGAAAATAAAAAAATAGGTCAAAACATGGACTAAAAAATTGGCGTCCATCTAGCGGTGAAAGTTGGAACTACAAAAATATAAAAATGTGATTTTCTCGAAAATTAGCGAACTTTCAGTACTTCTGAGGCTCAGAAAGTCTTATGTGATCGCATTTGAAGCAAATAATGCAATGAAAGTTTCCTAAATGCTGAAGCTTTAATAAGAAAAATAAAAAAAATGTCATTTTATGGAGAAAATTTGTGGCGCCATCTAGCGGCGAAACTGCGAACTAAACCGAAAAACCGTATGTCCGAACACGCGTTAAAGAAAAATATAAAAAGTAATATTTCGCAACTTTGACGACGCAGTATGCTTCTTTAGACATTTTAAAGCAATTTTTCTTAAATGAATTATTCATTTTATTGCCTATTAAGCCCAGAAAACCATTTTTTATTTGACCCCTTAACGCGTGCTCGGACATACGGTTTTTCGGTTTAGTTCACAGTTTCGCCGCTAGATGGCGCCACAAATTTTCTCCATAAAAT